TTTTCTTGTCAGTATTATTATACCTCTACTTTTTGTTAGAGGCATCCTGGGAGATTACTTGACAAATGATGAGCATGATGAAGCATCACCATAATGAAAAACACCATATATGTAACTGTGTCGTTAGAACTCGGAACTTTTTAAATGGCCGCCATTTTTCAGCGTACCAAAGTAACACGACATTCATTCATATTTTATTTTAACATATCCGTGGATTGCTTTTTAACTAAGCTTAACTCATATTCCCACTTTAATGAAGCAGAGCGTGATGTTTTTATGTTTATGATCGCACAGTTTTCCCTTTAGGGTTATACGTTGCTTCGATGCATTTTCTCATTTTTAATTAAAAATTATATCTGATTCATTAGTTTTATAGTTGAAATTATAAAATACAAATATCAGTTGTGCTTCTCCGTTTAATTTTCATTGTCAGTTGTATATATTTGCATTTATGACATGAATTATCATTGATATGGTCATAATTGTGCTATTTTTAAATCATTAAAAATATGTAGTAAGCGACTGGAGATTAAGAAATAGACTTTATACTGTTCGATTTATATCGGTTCTTTACATTTATCTAAATGATACAACTTGCCATGAAGTTTAAATTGAAACAACGGTTTTTGATTTCCAATTACTTTAGAAATTCTAGGAACGTTTCGTGAACATTTGAATCTGAATAATCCTCTTAATGCGACATATTGGTGTTTATTTCTTTTTTGCTTTATTACTTTTAAGCAGGAAGTCTAATTAAGTTCGAGTATTAACCAAGAAATTTGATAAAAACAAACAGCTTTGTAGAGGTGATGTTATAGTCTTTCCATCTTTTATAATAGTTGCATTCAAATTAACAAAAACAATTCAGTTTGGTAATCGTATTCTAGGTATACCTTTGCTTGCACATCCTTTATCTAAATTTTGCCCTGTACATGCGTATAAAAGGATGTGTTATTTAAATCCGTGCACTCCAGATGATGCCGATGTTTCTGATACACAAAAGGGGAAATGTATTCCTATTACTTATAACCAGTTTCAGAATTACTTTATAAAATTGGGCTAAATCCAAAATTATTTTCTTCCCATAGTTTACCATAGTTTCCGAAGATGTGGAGCAACGTTTGCTTCGAAAGCATGGATTTCTCCTAGTTTTATTCAATTGATGGGCGATTGCACAATATATTGTCAGTTCTTTGTCTGATAAGATTAATGTGGCGGAATAGATTAAAAAGTTTGTTTTAAAATAAATTTGCTCTTTATAGATTTTAGGTCTACTCTGGTATGCGACTCCATAGCCAAGCATGTGAAAACTATTAGAAAGTGTCATTGGCTAGCCTTTCCCGGAGCACATATTTGGGACATAATAAACTTGCTAAATTGTGGAACAATTCAGGTAAATTATTATATAATTCTGATACATGTAGGAACCCATAATGTTGGTACCTATGAGGTTGCTGATTTTGATATAGCCTTTAATGTGCTTATTTCTGCAATTGAGAAATTAGTTAACCCACATACTTTAGTTATGTCAGCAATTATTCCACGTTTACTTGATTTTCAGGATACAGGTTATTTTTTCACCGCCATTAATGCCAGATTAAGAAGATTATGCTTTTTACGTGGTGTTCAGTTTGTAGCTACGTATAAATCCGTATTGAAATTTGGGATTCCAACTTTTGAACTTTATTCACCAACTGCAAGTTGCATTGGAATTATTTTGATAATTTAAAGTTGACAATTTTTTTTTTTGCTCATTGTTAAACAGGAGGATATTCAGTCTCATCTTGTGACTGTTAACAGAAGGAGCAATCTAATTCTGTACAAATCTTGTGTTAAATTGTGCTTGCAGTAGTGGGTGATTTGTATATATCCTTAATGGAGTTATTATTTAGTTTTCTGACCATTCTTGTCAGAAATATCTGACCATTCATGTCAGTATTATTATTTTTTGTTTTCATTCTTATCTGTTTATAAGATGAAACATGGCTTTGAATTAACTCTGTAACTTAATTAGCATTTAAAATTTGTTTAGTATCAATCAATGTGCTGTGTTGACCGTTTGGAAATTAGTTTTTTTTTGTGCTGAACACTAATTGAATTAACTTTAATGTCTTTTATTTTTTTGTTATATGAAATTGTAATAATTTGCCAAAATTAAATGTTTTATTTTAATTCGCTTTAATCATTTCATAACATTAAGTATTCAGTATTGTTTTGCATCCAGTCGTTTCAAGGTATATATCTGCCGTCTAGTCTTTTGTCTTAGATTCTGATTGATTGACCGTACTTAGTTGGAAAGAGCAAATTGTGCTATTTTTAATTCATTAATAATTATAATTGGCGACTGGAGATTTAAGAAATAGACTTTATAATGTTCGAATTATTTCGGTTCTTTACATTTATCTAAATGATACAACTTTTTATGAATTTTATACTGGAACAACAATTTTTGATTTGTTCCTTTATCGACTTGTGATTTAAAAGAAAGTTTTTCATTCTGCCGTTGATTGCCGAAAACTAACCCTCCCATTATTTATGCTCAGTAGTTTCAGTTTCATTTTCTGTGGAAGTTTTATTTTTCAGCGTATGTTCCAAGCTGATTTTCTACTGTGGAAAGACGTATTCACAAGGTTGTTGTTTACTGATCAGAGGACGATGGATCAACATAGTTTATCACTGATAATTTAGATTCGTATTCACTCGCAATGGATATAGACGTGTGAATTTTAGATTCATTTTTACTCGCTAGATGTAGACGTGTGCACAAAGTGTTGTTGGCAGATGGTGATGAACATTGCTTGAATTATCTTCAACGTAAATTAGTGATTTTTCATATGAAATTGTACTCATTTGCAAAATTAAATGTTTTATTTTAATTTGCTTTCATAACATTAATTATTCAGTATTGCTTTGCATCCAGTCGTCTCATGGTATGTATCTGCGTCTAGTCTTTTGTTTTATATTCTGATTGATTGACCGTACTTAGTTGAAACAGCAAATAATAAATAAAATGTTTACAAAACTTTGAATTTTTCGAAATACTAAGGATTTTTGACCCCAGGAATAGATTACCGTAGCTTTATCTGGCAAAACCTTTCGGAATTTTGGGTCCTCAATGCTCTTCAACTTCGTACTTTATTTGGCTTTTTAAATTTTTTGATTCAAGCGTCACTGATGATTGTTTTGTAGACGAAACGCGCGTCTGGCGTTCAATGTTTTATAAATAAAATTAAATGTGGGGTATATGTCAATGAGACAGCAACCCCACGAAAAACGGAATGACATCTAGAAACCACATCTAGGTTTCAGCAATAAACAGGTTTCTATGTAATATGTCAAATTCTAAATTGTTCTGGGTATTTGAAAGATGTGATTAATTCTAACAAACACAACCAGTATTTTCTAGTTTTACTTGGTCATTAGCCTTTCGTCGGATGTAGTCGCAAGTCTATTAGATTATATACAGTTTCTGATATTTTTGTCTGAGAATACTTTGAAGTTATAACAGTATAAAAGCATATGTTTTGAACATGTTACCATTTTTAAACACCTCAAGATGGCTAGAATTTTTTATCATTCCATCAGTTTAAAATGAATCATCGAATAAGACAGCTCGTATCATTTGAATCAAGCGAACGCCGATTACATTCCCAGCAAACACACAACATTTTAAAAACATTTTTTAAATGTCATATGGACGTCTCTCACAAAATATTTCAATAAGATATCATTTAAACATAAAAAAAATGTTTATTTTATTGTTTTTGAAATGTTTTATTTCTAACATTTAAGTAAAATGATTTTACAACATTAACAAAATATTATTTGCTAATATCTTTTATTCATGTTCTCAAACATTGTTCTAAAATATCCCGTAGATATTTTATAATATAAAAAAATAATATTTTCTTCAATTGGTATTTTATATTTTAACAACATTTAAAGTAAATATTTTCCAAATATCCAAAAAACATTCTGCAAAAAAATGTTTTACAGAAAATATAGTTTTGCTATTTGCATAAAATGTTTTATAACGTAAAATTAAAATGTTTTACATAAAACATCTGAAAAATATCAGCTAAATGTTTTCTATAAAATATTCTGACATACACATTACTTAATAATCTTACTGATATTTTATTCAACATTTTACGGATATAAAAATAACATTATATTTTAACTTTATTCAAAACCCCACAAACAACGTTTTGTGGAATTAGCTCGTTTTTTTTTCAGGATAAGATATAGTACTACATTTCATCAATATCATGACAAGCAAGACACTATGGTTGAAATCCTTGGTTGATATCTCAGTTGAAGATCCTTGAAGTCAGATTTTATTCCTTCTTATATTAAAATTCAAAAGAGTCAACATTAAATTAAGCAATAATGTATTAATAAATAATCACCTTTCTTTAATGTTTATTCATTTCGTTCGTGTATATTTTAGAAATTAAGAAATGAAAACTGTAACTGTACTAAGTTCAATTTTCGTATCGTTTATATGCCTTACGGAAAACCGACCTTTTCCGGAATCGACTTTTGTTTTATCACCGGAAATGATTTTGAAATTTGAATTTCGAAACGAAGACTAACTCGAATAATTCAAGCCCTTTCCGTGTCCGATTTTCTCCCACACGAGGGCTTGAACTCCTTATGATCATATTGGCCGCGTCGTCTGCTCTCTGTGAGAGAGAGCCAATCGGCGGCGATCAGGATAATGAGTCTGCGCAACTGTCTTGTAATTGTCTTACTAAACACGTGTGTTCAATTAACACAAATCCGATAATAATTAATTAACATCAATTAACATCAGTTTACATCATTTAACATCAATTAACATCCGGAACTCCTCCTTCTTTAGCTGCCAACTTAAATCAAAATTCCCATATTGCATAGCGGTGTGAATTTTCCGGTTGACGGTCTTTATCGAGGAAGACGTTCAGGCGTTAATGTAGCCTTCGTAGATCAGCGGAATATAACGACTGAATTATTCGGGTTAAACGAAGACAGGATATCAACAAAGAGAGCCAAGAAAATTGTTTGTTACGCGATATATACTCACTTGGTAAGAATGATTAATCTGTTAAGATGAAACTTGTGCATTCATTGTGTGTGTTCAATCATAATCGGAACCAAATTACATCTGTTTCTGGAGGTGCGGATCAAGATTTTGAAAAAAGGGGGGCCAACTGCCCAAGGCAAGCAAACGTTTGGAGTGATACTTTTAAATAGTCTATACATTTATCTAATAAGTAGCCCCATCAAGCATCTACGTACACCAATTATGAATTTGTTCATTGATATAAAAAAATTATAAAGATATGTGGCTTGTGTGTTTGTCACAGTTTGATTGCCAATACACCTTATCGCTATTTGTCCGCCATTACTGGCCATGGACATCACAAAAGTTCCCGTAAAATGTTGACGTCATATTAGAAAATATTTGACACCACAATTGAAAGTAATACACCTTATTGCTATTTGTCCACCATTACTGGACATCACACAACTGTCACAAGTTCCCTTAAAATTTTGACGTCATCATAAAAAATATCTGATGCCACAATGGAAAAGTGATTGTTGTTTGACGTCAAAAGTTCAAGCAGGATAGATTCTCGGGTCAAGCAGGAATAGCGATAAGGTGTATTATTGTATGACGTATGCTGACGTAAAAAGTTCAAGCGGGACAGATTTCCAAATACTGAAATAGCGATAAGGTGTATGAGACAGTTATCCACCAGAATTTAAATGACTTGGATAAAAGAAATTATAGGTCACTGTACGGCTTTCAAAACAGAAAACCAATGCCATATAGTCCACTTTGAAGCCTTGACAAACAAATGTTAAATTTTTCTCAACACAATTGAAACAAAACAACTAACTGCCTACATTAAATACACAATATGAAAAAGAAATTTGACAGACTTAAACCAACAACAACTATTGCAATAAGCATGACTCAATACCTTGTTTCCGAGGCACACAAACAAGTTACAATAACACTAATATAAGCACCATTTGAATATGGAGATTTTTTTTTCTAGTAAAATCAGTGTATGTATGTATTTGCAAAACAGTAAATTAAATTTCCCTTAACAGCTTAATGAACATTAAAAAGACTATGTAAGACTTCAGTACAAGCAAGATAATATAAACTGTTGCTTAAAATTATATTTATTGCTTCATACACACAATGTACATACAATGTATCTTTTATTTTTTAACAGGAGCTAAAAGAAAAGCCACAAAGGACAAGTTCAATATGCAGGTTTACAATTTGGAAGTGGCGCAGGTTCTTTGGAATGTCTACAACCTTTCAGTAGAATTTTTTTTTGAAGTAAGCTTTTTATACAGAATTACTGTTATTCCATATTTAATTCAAATATTTAGCATAAACAATGCATTACATTCAAGATTAAGGGCATACAATACAGAAAAGATATCTGGATATTTGAATTAATTATTTTTTTTATGTGACAAAATAGAAATAAGTTGTTTATTTAAATCAATCTTTTAGTCCAACAGTGTGCTTTCATAAACAACATATTTGCTTTCCTTTGAAGTATTTCAAAAACATATAAATAACTCATTTAATGACATCTGTGTGTTTCTCGGAAGTTAAGTTATAATATTATCATCATTGCGAAAACAATGCGTAACACTTCGATAAGTTATTATGTGCCTATAGTATACTTCTAGGACTGTATCATATGCCCTTAGATACAAATGACAAGTTGTAAACTATGTCACTCTACAGAGTTTATCACTCAAAACATGCAAAAAGGACAATAAGATGTTTAATGACATTATGTAGCAGGGCTTTTAAAGGCCCCTACATTATATACAATGCACTTAATGAAAAACTAAAAAAAACTAGAAAAACAACAGCCTGATTTATACAAAACAATAAAAGAAAAAAATTATGATAGACAACAATCAACGAGTATAATGAAATAAGACTTTTGACTGGACACATATCTAGTCTAAAGTTTTTTATGTGTTTTTTTTTTAATAACTAAATGAAGTTCAGCGTGGCATATTGCTCTCTCTTTTAACACAGTCAGCCATTTATCGTCCCCTTCCGACAGACTATCATCGTTATTTGTTTCAAAACTTTAAAGGGGAGGGGATGTATATCCTTCAGGCAACGTGAATCGTTCTATAATAATGGAATGTGCAAGAAATTATATATGAATGTAAGATTATTTTTTTTTTCAGAAGCATGGCACAGCAAGAAAAAGATATAAGACACTACAAGACATTTCAAGTGATTTTGAATAAGACAATTGATTGACTTTTTCAATGTATTCTTAAATAAATCAAATAGTTGATGTAAAATGGTGTTTTGTTCTCATCTCTTCAGCCAATTATCAATGATTATTGACTTAAGATGTAACCCTATTAGAAGTGTAGCGTTTTAGTTTAGAAAGAGAAGTTGTATTGAAAAATCTGAATTTGGGACACAAGTTTTAGTCAATGTAACTTGAACTTAAAAATGTGTATAATGTTTGCATAATGTCCAATGGCATATATGTCATGCATGTTCAGGTTGACATATGCATGATGTGTATAAGATAGGTAATAAAAGTTGAGAGTGAAAAACTATACATTATACCATTGTGGTTGGAATAATGGGCTTTCTTGCACTGTCTGTCGTCTGTTCACCTATATTTGTCGGATTTTGTCCAACAAATATTTTCATCACTGTTTTTCCCAAAACTGCTGATAAAGATGAGTTCATATTTAATGAGCTGCTTGATAGTGATGAACTGTGATGTGTGAACATTTTTGTATCTGGCACCTGTTTCCTGTTTGCTTATACATTGTATTTCAAAATGTTGAATGTTCTCACATTTTTCATTACTTTAATTAGTAATGCTGATGAACAGAATGACTTCATATTTGGTAAGTGGCTTGACCATGATGAGTTGTGTCTGCCATTTTGGATGTGTCAAAATTTGTAGATACTTCTTGTTTTTAGAGACTTTGAATTGTGAATTTCATATGCTTAGCAAAACAACTGATTTATTCTTGTTTGTATATAGAATTAATCACTGTGTATAAATTAATTTAACTAATGATTTGTTATTTAAAAAAGCAGGAAACTCAATCAAAAGTACAGAAATTTTTATATTGATATGATCTTGATATCAACCAAAAACATCTTCTTAAAACATTTTGAAAACATTTTTTAGGCACAGTCTCACTTGCAAGAAAACATCCAAAAAACATTTTTATAACATTATTTGATGTTCATGATGTTTTTCAAACGTTCAGAAAATATTTCTAGAAAATATTTTTTAAAAGATTATCAAAATGTTTTATACGCCATTGTTTTTCACATTATCATGATATTTCTTTACAACATTTTAATTATATTATGCAAATATTTTAGAAAATATATTAGAAAACGTTTTAGCGATATATATTCTACCATACATTTAATGTTTTTCTCACGTTTTTTTGTGATATTTTCATGACATTAGACACAACATTTTAAAAACATTTTAAAGATGTTTTTGTGTTTGCTGGGTTAACACCTGGGTGGACTGTTCCCACAAAGAGTACCAAAATGTAAATTAACAAAATAACCGAACTCCATGGAAAATTCAAAACGGAAAGTCACCTATCAAATGGCAAAATCAAAAGCCCAAACACATCAAACGAATGAAAAGCAACTGTTATATTCCTGACTTGGTACAGGCATTTTCCCTTATAGAAAATGGCAAACTAAACCTGACCCCATAGCCAACTAAACCTCAACTTGTATGACAATCGCATAGAATTCCATTATACTGACAACAATGTGTGAGCAACCGATTGATAATTTAAAACAAATAATTTGTTTTTGGTTTTTGTTAACCAACTTATTTTCGCGACTTTCGCGAATAGAAAAATTATACGATTATAAATCGTAGCGAATATGTAAAACTTGTATCTTCCCTTATTTATTAAATACATCAAGTTAATTTGGTAATAGCGAAATTAAATCGACGCGAAGTGGATTAGAAAGGGCTAAACGCGAAATAAAGTATACGCGAAAACAAGTTGGTTTACAATATATGCATCTAGCTTTCATCGATCAGAGTTTAACCTTACCACTGGGCATACTTATTAAACAAATATACATCTATGTTTTATAAGTACAAGTTAACCTTCGTTTGGAATTTTAGCCGTTTCATGATTAGTTCATATCAATTTGAATTATGATTTAATGTTAGTGCTATCTTAATAGTGATCATTCTATGTTAAGAAAAGGCGAATGATAAAATGATGTGCTTTACTTTTACAGTCGTAGAGTGCATTGTTTTGAAAACCTGTGCATCAGAAGGAGAAAATAATGTTTATAATCTATTACCTGTCCAATATCAATGTTTAATAATTCAACAAACAATCTGATTTCTTAAACTTATAATTTGGCTATACAAAAATAATTGATATCTTCAAAATAATGTGAGACAATCAAAACTTTATATATGTGAGGCAATTGCAACTCGTATGTAAAAACAAGCGAAACAATCAAGATTTTATTCTTTGAAATGCACCATATTGTTTTAAGATGACACAGTGTCGTTTGCGGTATATCTTTTGGACGCATTGAGTAGATATGACCAAATTTGTTGATTGGAGGATGGATATACTATATTGTCAACATAGTACTTCCAGGCTTGAAAATCAAACCATCTTTCATTAAAGAACCTTAGTGAGCGCGCTCACATACCCCACGTCCCCACATTGTCATTGGAGAAATAAAATAAGTGTTAGAAAAAAAAAATTGTATCAGAAAAAAAATTGAATCATAATTTCCTGTCAATATGCAGATCTACGTAGTATGTCCTTATTATCTACACAGTTTATTGAAATTCTGTTGTGTGGGTTGAGAGGAGTTGCGATGACAAAAGGTTGCAGTAGTATATTGGGCAAATAAGTTTAAAGGGGCGTAACTCCTGGAAAAAAAAATTGAATCGTAATTTCCTGTCGATATGCACATCTACGTAGTATGTCAATATTATATGAAAGGTTTCATGAAATTCTGTTGTGTGGTTTGAGAGGAGTTGCGATGACAAAAGGTTGCAGTAGTGTATTGGGCAAATAAGTTCAAATGGGCGTAACTCCTGGAAAAAAATTGAATCGTAATTTCATGTCGATATGCACATCTACGTAGTATGTCCTTATTATCTGAAAAGGTTTCATGATATTTTGTTGTGTGGTTTGAGAGGAGTTGCGATGACAAAAGGTTGCAGTAGTATATTGGGCAAATAAGTTCAAAGGGGCGTAACTCCTGGAAAAAGAATTGAATCGTAATTTCCTGTCGATATGCACAACTACATAGTATGTCCTTATTATCTAAAAAAGTTTCGTGAAATTCTGTTGTTTGGTTTGAGAGGAGTTGCGATGACAAGAAACAGGACTGACGGACTGACGGACGGACAGACGGACAGACGGACGGACAGACGGACGGACGGACGGACGGACGGACGGGTCAAAAACATTATACCCTCCGCAACTCGTTGCGTGGGGTATAAGTTTGATAAGGGAGTGACTAACGACACGTGTTTCATAATTTAACAAAGTATTACATTTTTTAATACAAACAACTTGGCTCTGTTAAGCAATGCCCAATCTGGACTAAACCGTGCAAACTTCAACCAAACGGAAAAGCGAATTTTGTTTATACAATTTTAAAGCATTTTGTATTTTGCTTTATTCTTAATTTTATTTGTATTTTATTTTTGGGGGCATTGATTGTTTATTTGTTTTCTTTGACTTTTTTATTATGTTCAAATTAAGCTACTTATTTAATCTTGATTGTGTTTGTTTATTGTGTAGCCCATTTTGATTCAAATATAGATATGACACCGAGTGCTATTTTTTAGTATGAAACGATACCGTTGACAGAGATTTGAAAAATACAATAAAACTGTCAAAAATGGAAATTTCATCAAAGAGTGAATTGAAACAAAATTCCATCAAAAGTTGATTAAACAAATTTTCTTTAAAGTGTTAATATAAACAAAGTTCTACTTTTAACTTTTTGAAGAAAAACAAAATACCCTACCTTTTAGCAGCATATCAAATGTTATTGGCTAAATGCCTCATCAGTGCATATTAGTTAGTTGGCAGTATGTAACTTTTTCATTTGTATCATATATTGACGAAACGAGTATGAATTAAAAGTGAATGCAACGAATTATCATTCATCCTTTTATAGAATGTTCATGCTTCTTAATTAATTCGTGTGATATATCAAGGCGGACAAAAAATAAGAAGAGCAATCAAATGTTTCTCCCAGGAATTGTTAAGGTAGTTTTTCTTATCCTGTTCGATCTAAAATTGCAATACGTATTCTAAAATAATAAATAACTAATAATGCATGAATTTCAAATAGTTTTGTCCCTTGTGTTATACAATGTAACCGTCTCAGTGGTCTCGATTTCGAGGCCAAGACTTCGAAGCGAAAGTTCGTCGATCGGTATAACAACATTAACGGTAGCAATTAAAATGCAACATAAAGGGTTTATGTGGTTAACAGTAGACAGTGCCTAAAGGGTTTATGTGATCAACAGTAGACAGTGTCTAAATGGTTTATTTGGTCAACAGTAGACAGTGTCTGAGGGGTTTATGTGGTTTATGTGATCAACAGTAAACATTGTCTAAAGTGTTTATGTGGTCAACAGTAGACCGTGTCTAAGGGGTTTATGTGGTCAACAGTAAACATTGTCTAAAGTGTTGATGTGGTCAACAGTAGACCGTGTCTAAGGGGTTTATGTGGTCAACAGTAAACAGTGTCTAAAGTGTTGATGTGGTCAACAGTAGACCGTGTCTAAGGGGTTTATCAGGTGAACAGTTGACAGTCAGTGTCTAGAGGGTTTATGTGGTCAACAGTAGACTTTGTCTAAAGTGTTTATGTGGTCAACAGTAGACCGTGTCTAAGGGGTTTATCAGGTGAACAGTTGACAGTCAGTGTCTAGAGGGTTTATGTGGTCAACAGTAGACTTTGTCTAAAGTGTTTATGTGGTCAACAGTAGACCGTGTCTAAATGGTTTATGTGGTCAACAGTAGACCGTGTCTAAGGGGTTTATGTGGTAAACAGTGTCTAAAGTGTTGATGTGGTCAACAGTAGACCGTGTCTAAGGGGTTTATCAGGTGAACAGTTGACAGTCAGTGTCTAGAGGGTTTATGTGGTCAACAGTAAACAGTGTCCAAAGTGTTGATGTGGTCAACAGTAGACCGTGTCTAAGGGGTTTATCAGGTGAACAGTTGACAGTCAGTGTCTAGAGGGTTTATGTGGTCAACAGTAGACAGTGTCTAAAGTGTTCATGTGGTCAACAGTAGACCGTGTCTAAATGGTTTATGTGGTCAACAGTAGACCGTGTCTAAATGGTTTATGTGGTCAACAGTAGACCGTGTCTAGAGGGTTTATGTGATCAACAGTAGACAGTGTCTAAATGGTTTATGTGGTCAACAGTAGACTTTGTCTAAAGTGTTTATGTGGTCAACAGTAGACCGTGTCTAAGGGGTTTATCAGGTGAACAGTTGACAGTCAGTGTCTAGAGGGTTTATGTGGTCAACAGTAGACTTTGTCTAAAGTGTTTATGTGGTCAACAGTAGACCGTGTCTAAAGTGTTTATGTGGTCAACAGTAGACCGTGTCTAAGGGGTTTATGTGGTCAACAGTAAACAGTGTCTAAAGTGTTGATGTGGTCAACAGTAGACCGTGTCTAAATGGTTTATGTGGTCAACAGTAGACCGTGTCTAAGGGGTTTATGTGGTCAACAGTAGACCGTGTCTAAATGGTTTATGTGGTCAACAGTAGACCGTGTCTAAATGGTTTATGTGGTCAACAGTAGACCGTGTCTAAGGGGTTTATGTGGTCAACAGTAAACATTGTCTAAAGTGTTTATGTGATCAACAGTAGACAGTGTCTAAATGGTTTATGTGGTCAACAGTAGACCGTGTCTAAGGGGTTTATGTGGTCAACAGTAAACAGTGTCTAAAGTGTTGATGTGGTCAACAGTAGACCGTGTCTAAGGGGTTTATCAGGTGAACAGTTGACAGTCAGTGTCTAGAGGGTTTATGTGGTCAACAGTAGACTTTGTCTAAAGTGTTTATGTGGTCAACAGTAAACAGTGTCTGAGGGGTTTATGTGGTTTATGTGGTCAACAGTAGGCTTTGTCTATAGGGTTTATGTGGTCAACAGTAGACTTTGTCTAAATGGTTTATGTGGTCAACAGTAAACAGTGTCTGAGGGGTTTATGTGGTTTATGTGGTCAACAGTAGACTTTGTCTATAGGGTTTATGTGGTCAACAGTAGACTTTGTCTAAAGTGTTTATGTGATCAACAGTAGACAGTGTGTAAAGGATTTATACAATATGTCAACTCTGAACTGTCTCGTGTCTATAACTAAAAAGAAGGGAAATATTTAACAAAGGTAATTGAAGACCCATAATCAACAACAAATGAGAAGAAATGATGAGCACTATAATCTGGTCCTTTTGATCGGAAGAATAGGAAACAATCCTCAGTCCGTTCAAAACATTGTTATAATTCATCAATAAATTAAATGATTTATTCTAGACATTTTGTTAAGGAAGAGGCTTTTTAAATCTAAACATGGTGTGACAAAGTTGTCGATGTTGACCAATATGACAAAATGTGTGAGCCTTAAAAGCATACTGCACATCAGTTGAAGCACCATTAGTACCACTGGGTCAACACCTTTTCTGGTCGATTGTTAATCATCGAGGGTATCACACGCCCAGTAGCTCACGTTTTGTGACCTGGCATGGAAATACGGTTAAGGTTCCTTTATTTTCACAATCTAACTTCAAGGTTTTAATAATCTTGTTCAAAGATAGATAATTATTCATTTTTGAGGCAAATTCTTTTAGTATTTCAATTCTATAAGATGTATTGATTTTTACATTTTCTTTTTTTCTAAATATTTGTCTCTAGTGATTACTAATTTAAAAATTAGCTGAAGAGGCAATTTTCAAAGAATCTTGTAGTGAATTTTTTCTAATTATTTGGACTTCATAATTTCAAGACAGATGCATAGAAAATGTACTTCATCTACAACAAAATAGAGAGTACTTTTGGAATTTGCAAAATATGCATTGCATGTAGTCAAATGCACATATAGTTTACAGTTATAAAGCAATATAATAGGGAATAAATACATATACATGTACATTGTGCTGCGAATTGATCAGTTTAAAGTTCTTTAATTTTGTAATTAATGCAATAAAATTATTATCATATAGCATAGCTTAAGAGACATTTATTGTCGGAATGTGTAACTGGCGCAGTAAAATTGGTACCGTTAATTTTATTTCAAAGGATATTGTAGTGTGTATTTTCTAATTAAATTCGGACTACATATTTCCAAGGCAGATGGAACGAAAATACACTTCTTCTACAACAAAACAATCGAATCACTATTTATTGTAACCATAAGTTTTGATTAATTATAGATGATTATGTCATTAATTCAACACGAAAAATGAGGCTCATATATAAGAGCCTGGATCGCACATCTAGCAGAATTTAACATATTCATATTTGATGATAAAATCGTCCAAGCCCAACCCCTCAAAATCAACTGGCACTTCCCTAAATAATTTTAACTTCTTAATTTGATTTTTTACTGTTAACAGTTAATGTCTATACATTAATGTTTTCAAGAATATATCAATAAATCTTTTCTTCGTTATTAAAGGGCAATAATTCTAGTATGTAATAGATAAACACTTTTTCTTATGAGTCTTATGTACACGAATAGCGCGTCTGCCGTATTAAATTATAATCCTGGTACCTTTGATAACTATTTACACCACAGGGTCGATGCCACTGCTGGTGGACGTTTCGTCCCCGAGGGTATCACTAGCCCAGTAGTCAGCACTTCGGTGTTTATATAAATATCAATTATATGGTAATTTTTATAAATTTCCTGTTACAAAACTTTGAATTTTTCTAAAAAACCAAGGATTTTCTTATCCCAGGAATAGATTACCTTAGCCGTATTTGGCACAACTTTTTGGAATTTTGGGTCCTCAATGCTCTTCAACTTTGTACTTGTTTGGCTTTATAACTATTTTGATCTGAGCGTCACTGATGAGTCTTATGTAGACGAAACGCGCGTCTGGCGTAATAAATTATAATCCTGGTACCTTTGATAACTATTTAC